TTTTGACTCTGAGTGCTTATTTCAGCATAGATTTTCAAATAGCCCAATGAGTGCATGAAAGAGGTACAGCTGTCTGTGAACAACATGTAGGTTTAAACATTGGAAGATGGGACTGTTATATTTAAAAGGAGGTAATAGAACAAGTGGAATACATTAAAACATCAGAGACAAGCAAGATAGACTTAGCAGGGTGGTGTTTCATAAGACTAAAGCACTTTCCACATGCAGCACTTGGAATTGTTCTTCTCCTGACCTAAAATGGGTTGTTGACCGTTTCTATCAAAATGTCATTCATGCTGGGGGAAAAGCATAGACATCTGATACCTCACTTCTGCTATTACCTCTTAAGCTCTTAAGAACTAGAGTGCACTCTTAGATTGAATAATGTTAATGGTATTGTCTTTAAGACCAAAAAAAAGTGTAAAGCTTCCACCAGTAAAAGTTTCTGAAGAGACTAATACCCTCATATGTACTTTGATCATTTGCAAGGGTGGAAGCAGGGAATAACAGAACTGTTCTCTGCAATTGCTATACTGAAACCTATTTCATAATGTTATCAGGACCAGTAAACATTTAACAGAACAGCACCTCACTTCCACAGATTCAGTGCCACCACCTCCCATACTTTCAGTACATTTTGAAATGCTGAAAACATCTCTGTCATCTTTTTGAGTGTCAGCTTTTATCAGAATAGCTCAAAAATGCTACAGAACGACCCATTCCTGTTACCTGTTTGTTGGTTCCAACCATATTCTGAGGGTAAAGGTAGGCATCATGAAAAAGACTCAAATTAGACATGGAATCAGCAGCTTGTGTTTTCCAGAAGAATCTTTCATTTTTCTTCTCAAAAGATACATTCAACTTCTTTGTGATTTTTCTGCTCAGTTATGAAACTGAGGCTTCTTGGCTCCTATGCATTCACTTTGTATCAATAAGAGCTTTAATAGTGCATTGAGTCAATTTGAAAGATAAATGCTTTTGCAGTATACCTTGGTGAGAGAGAGGGAGTAGATATGTTAGCTCATCTATTGTTTTCATGAGCATTTATGGAGATGGTAAATGAAAATGGAGAAGAATTTTTTTAGTTATATAGGGTACTTGGATTTCAGAATTTGTGTGCTTTTGACATTATGAGTGTGGTAATGGAATTCAGTAGTTTAATTTGAATTCTGCAATTATAATGCTTAGCTGTAAAAAGAACTGCAAGTCTAGATGGATGTTCCTGTAATCTGTAAATAAAGGTAAATAAATCCTTCTCTTGATGATGTCAGCTTTATATTATCTTGCTCATGTGTTATGGTAAAATTTATACTTCCAAACATTGTCTGAGTTGTTATTTGCAGTTTAGGTAGTAGAAGGTGTATGTGAAGGGGAATAGGATGCTAAGAAGAATTATGCAAAATAAATTAAAAAACCTTACAGATAAGCATTGCAATTTCAAAAATTGGAACCTAAGTTTTCCTGCCACGGAGGTTTATTTCAATTTCTTGTGAACTTTACTAAATTCAGTTTGACTATTGATGAGTGATGACAATACATACATGAAGACAGTGAAAACTTACTGGTGAATAATTATTTGATGACAGCTTTGTCAACATATGAGAAAGTTATGTGCACTTAGTTATGCCCAAGAGTAATGATTTGCCACATCATACTGTTAAAGTAGAAAAACATTTCAGGAACAGATAATGATATCTTAAAAGAGAATTCAAAGGTGTAGTGTCGTCAGTGGGGTTTGTAAGTGTTGAGAGCTGTGGACTTTGACTGGACTAAGCCTAGGCATGTAAAAGAATTTGCAATACTGAAACCTGCCTGAGCTGTGAGGCACAGCAAGAGAAATGTTCAAAGACAGGCATTGAGTGAGGTGGTCAAAATGGTCAAGAAAACATAAATTCATGAGGAGATGTTAAGAAGAAACACTAAGATTCATATCCCCTTTCAAAATCTGTTAACTATATTAATCTTTCCAAAAGGCCCTCTGTAGATATTTTGTGTTGAAACTGGTCCATTTTGTGCAAATAAATACTTTTTTGTAACAGAGGCATAAATTAGATGACATATATCCCCATAAATGTCCTACTCATGAGAATCTGGGAACACTGTATTGCTAATAAATATGATAAAATGATAAAAATAAATATTATATAAAATACATATGATTTCTACTCATTAAAGACTCTTCAGAAATGAAAATGCAAACACACTCACACCAGAGTAACAAATGAGATCATGGTGAGAAACGGTGTGCCATTATCTGAGCTACCAGCAGGTTGTAGATTGGACTGGTGGTTAACATTTGGAGGAGCTAAACAGCACTACTGTGGAAACTTCTGGACGTTTTGAGGCATAAGGACTTTTCACATTCAGCAGCAAACCAGTCTGTTGAATAATACAGGTGCCTGAAGAAGGTATTTGAAGCCACTTCTTAATTATATGGTTCTCCAAAGTTCCGTCAGTTTAACAAAAGAGATTTATGCTGAGATGGCCTTTGACCTGAAGTCTTCTCATTTGTGTCCCAGTTCCTCAACATGACAGAATAAGAGCATTTGCTATTCTCATTATCTTCCTCTCTGTGATTTCTGCTCCCATTTCTTCTTTGGTATGCAAAGGAAACCAAGCACACAAATCCACAGCAAGTGGAAATATGGTGCAATAGCTTTCTTGGTACAGGTATTATCAGACTGGGTGACCTACAGGTTACGTACACCTTGAAATACTTAGAAAGGTATTTACTTTACTAGCAGAAAGAAGCTCTACTTTTGTTAATGCTGTCTGATTTATCCAGTAAGAAGCAGTTCTGTAAGCACATAGTACTGTCATAAAGCTTTCCTCTGGAAGCCATTCCCATTTGACCTCAATAAGCCTATGGAAAGCAGTTTCTTCAATATATCCTTGAAGGCTAACACCAGAAACTAATTTTGGTAATAAATATTTTAAATGGTAACTATTTCCCAGCCTTACTTTCTGCAGAAGATTTCAGTGAGAAATGGTTACAGAATCAAGTACATCCTCTGTTCTTATGAGTACCAACACCCATTTTACCCTGTATGCAAATCACAGTTTCTGTTCAATGTTGTAAAGTGTTCTTCCCTCTCTTCAGTCACACTTGCTTCTCTAAAGAAATTTTTATAAATCTTTTCTATTTTAGTCACATGCTTATAGTTTGTTCAGAATTCAGTGGCACTCATGTCATAGTACACAACATATTGTGTGAAAGTTCTCTGCAATACAGTCTGTTCCTTTTAAAGTATCTGCCATAATGTTTCATTATAGATGCTGTCAAAACTAAATTAGACAATATACTGTTTGATAAAACATGTTATTTCAAAATATACCAAGAATGTGCAGCTAAAGCCAATATAAATGTGTCTTGAGGAAGCAGTATTTTCCCCTCGTGATAAGAAGGAGAAAATGTTTTGATATATTTCTGGCAATGAATTCTGAAATTCAGGCCATGAGTGCTAAAGAGCTTGTCAGTTTGGGAGCTAATCCATATGCCAAGGAAACATTAAACAAACATGTAGCTACTTATTTCAGAGAATGACCAGATATGAATAAAACTTTCACAAGGAAATCAAGCCCAGCTACTGGTAAGTGTAAGGTGGAATTTTAAATCGCTTTTGACAAGGTAGAAAAGCAGACAGGGTCACAGTGTAACTGCAGTATAATATACATGATTAACTTACTCTGGACCTGTTCTCTGGCAGCAGGATTTTACACATGCTGTATGGTAGAAATAAATAATCACTGAGAGAAAACATGTAACTCAAAGTGCAGAGGCATGCATAAATAATAATTTTTTAAAAAGTCCAGGAAAAGTGAACAAGTGGTTATTTCATTTTCTAATCACAGGCCTTGGCAGTGGGCTCTACAACAGAGTATTCTCTTTCCACCTAAAGCCATAGCCTATCTTCTCTATTGGAAAAGAAGTAGAGGAGCTCAACTGTCTCCAAATATACTGTTCAACAACAACTTTTTTTTCCTCTGCATGATGATGTATTTATTTGATCCTTTACTGGAATGATAGGTACAGTTCTCCTTTTTAAATTCTTAGATCAGACTGAATTCTTCACTTCTACCTGTGGATGATACAGTCTTTTAACATATCTGAAGCTCAAATGATCAAAGGGTGAGGGGGAAGTAAGGTTTTCCAGCAGTTGCTTTCAGTTTTCTCATGCATAGCTAAATCAGTGCATTGAGAAGTAATACTCTATAGGGATGGATGCAGAATTAGCCCCTGCAGTCTCACCAGAGCTTAATGGGTGATCTGATGCTAACAGCATCAGTTTCTGCCATCTGTTCATAAGGGCACCACTGCCTGTTCAGTGAGCCCCTTCCTTAGTCATGCTAGAAGGAATTTGGATGACTAAAACTGAAGTCTGAATATCCCCATCCAGCAAAACCATCAGAGCAGTAAATAACTGAAGATAGGGAAAAAAAAGCAAAAATTAGAGAAAAACAAATTATTTAAATAAATACAGGTCTAGTTGCATTTTCTCAGCTCTTTAGATTTAAAGAGCTACATGCCAAGTACTGTGGTAGAGAAACTGTATTTACTCATTACCAACAAGTTTTCCAATAAACTTACCCTTTTTGTATAAAACCCATTCTGCTTCCACAAATATGTTGTTTTATTACATAAGTAGTCTAAGCAACAGCTTTGTTTATACAAATAGTTTGAAGAAGTATACTACAACTTGTAGTATGTTTTTAACTGTGTTGCATGTCTTGTTCTAATTTGTCATACATGTTTTGTTGTTATTAGGTCTGATGCCTATTAAAATGTGGGAAAATAAGTACCAAGCGATATGAAAGAACCAGTGATAAAACTAAGAGAAGTACAAGTTTATGCTTGTATAAGAGTGCACTTACTTGTATAAAAAGCTATTCAGGGGAAAAAAGTGTATAAAACTGAAAACACTGTTGTTTAAATATTTATTTTGAAGCATAAAATGGTTGAGAAAAAGTTCTTTGAAATTCAGTGAAATACTTGTACTTACTGTGTTGCAGTATTTGCCCACGTACAATTTTGCAGAAATGCATTTCAGGAGAGTCCTGCAGAGTATTAGACACAGACATAAAGCAAAGATAAGGATTAAAGCTAATCAAAAGCTAAGCATAACAAAAATCAGGAATATTTAAACAGATTTTTAATTATCTATCTGTTTAAACATGAATTCCCTGAAGAACAGTCAGCAGTAAAGACGTCCCTGAGAAATGTGTCTACAGGAAGAAAAGGCTTTTTACACTAAAAGTATTTATTTGGATGTTCTAATTAGCCATTTAAGCATACTTTAGCTTGAAAGCAGATACAAATTATATTGTTATCAATGAGAACATGCCTTTTCAACAGTGACCTTCATTGCTTCCATTTACTCTTTTCTAATTAAAGTCTGGGGAAACATCTATTGTAGACTTGCTGCTGGCCGAAGCTGAGTCTATCAGCAATAGTGGCAGAGCCTTGCAGGGAAAACATCCATGAGAAAGGATAAGAAAAACACTGTGCATGAGCTGTGAGAGAGGCAAGAGAAATAACTGCAGGCTCCCAAGTCAGTGAAGAGGAAGAGGATGAAGCACTCCAGGCACCAGAGCAGACATTCCCCCATAGCCTGTGGAGGTGCCATGGTTGTCTTTCTGCAGCCTGTGGAGGAAACCACACCAGAGCATGTGGACCTGTCCTCATGGAAGCTGTAGATGATGGAGAGACCATGTAAGAGCACGCTTTTGGCAAGAGCTGTAGTCTGTGGAGAGGAGACCATATGGAGAAGGTTTTCTGATGGGGAATCTGGCATATGGACCTATGCTAGAGCAGTTCATGAAGAACTGCACCACATGGGAAGAACATACGATGGAGCAGTTTGTGAAGGACTATCCAGTGGGAGGGAGTCCATGCTGGAGCAGGGGGAGAGTGTAAGGAGGAAGAAGCAGCACGGACAAAATGTTATGAACTGACCACATCTCCCAGTCCCCATATTCCTTCTACTGCTAGTAGAGTGGGGAGGAGGTACAAGATTTTGGAACAAAGGAGTGAAGTTGAGCCTGGGAAGAAAGCATAGGATAATGGGAAAGTGCTTTTAGTTTTGTCTTTGTTTCTCTCTATCCTTCTTTAAAATATATCTTTTTTTAATTAGGATTAAACTAAATTAATATTCTGCTAGTCAAATCTGGTCTGCCTCTGATAGTGATTGGTGAGTAACCTCCCTGTCCGTATCTCAAACCACATGCTTCTCCATCTTATTTTCAGCTGCTGGCCTGCTGAGGGAGGGAGAGAGCACTTGGATGGGCATCTGACAGTCAGCCAAGGTTAGCCCACCACAGAAGTTCATAATTTTGTCACATCAGATGAGTCCTTTCTCTCTCTTCGCAGCTCTGCTGTATTATCTGGCACATGGTGTGGGTGGGTGATATTGATTTTCTTCATGTGCTAATCCAGACTCTGACAAAGTCCTTTGAAGCTGATGTGTCTTCCGTATTATGATCCTAAGCCACTGAGGCTGCATGGTTTGACACAGGGAAGGATTCACATAAACTCTTCCAAATTGAAAGTTTATTTCTCATCAGTGAGCAAGATTTTTTTCAAGATTGAGTTCCATGTTTAATATTTACATCCAGCTAATGCAGATTTATCTGCAAATAATCACCCAAGACATTGCACATTCATTTTCAGAGGGGTATCAGTGAACTGCTAATGTAGATTTTCTGCATATAAAGTTGCAGATTTTGCAGCTACCAGAGTTCACATTTTAAAATGTGGCCCTATAATGTAAATTATACAGTTTTAGCATATGCTTAAATTTCAAAGCAAAATGATATATGTAATAGCTAAGATTCTAGAAAATGACACAAGATATGACAGCATTTAAAATATATGAGAAAGCACTGTTAATAACATAAAAGTTGACACACAGTTTAGAGAAAAATCCTGATACATCTTGTATGTAAGTAGGATGGTAGACTGGAATTTGCATGCAAACAGTAACAAAAAAAAAAATGGATTGCAGTGGTGTAAAGGCGGGAAGGTGTTCCTACTCAGGGCAGGAGGGTTGGAACTAGATGATCTTTAAGGTCTCTTCCCACCCAAATAATTCTCTGATTCTGTAATATAATGCTTGGCAGAAGTTGTAGTAACACCCGTAAATTTGAATGTTGATAGTTAAAAGCAGACTAGAATACATAATTCAAAGGCTTTACATCTGTTATTTTTTCACACAGTATCTGTTATTTTTTTCACATGGTTTTTAGTAGGAGAACAGTTTCAAGATAAGGGAAGTTGTGATTGTGTAGTTACAAAACTTAGTATAATTATTCAAAATGCACAGAAAGTACCTAAAGCACAATACACAAGCCTGCAGATGCTCCTGTATGTAAAAAAGTGCATGAAAAAGCTATGTGACCACACTGATTATGAAAAAGTAGCATGGTGGTAACAGCAGTATGAAGCTGAGTTTTTTTACCACAAGCACGCTGTAAGGGAGCAGTTTATGTAAACTATTAGGCTAATGCTCTCTACTCTCACACTCTATACTACCAAGTGTACTGGTTTTGTCTGGGATAGAGTAGTAACTCTTCATAGTAACTTCTATGGCGCTATGATTTGTAAAGCCAAAACAGTATTGGTAACACACTGATGTTTTAGCTATTGTTAAGCAGTACTTGCACATCATCAAGGCCCTTTTTTTCTGCTTCTCATACTGTCTCATCACTGTGTAGGCTGAGGGTGCACAAGAATTTGGGAGAGGATACGGCGGGGACAACTGACCAGATAGATATTCCTTATTATATGATGCCATGCATAGCAATAATATCTGCATAGAAGAAGGATGAAGGGGGAATGTGTTAGGAGAGATGGAATTTGTCTTCCCAAGTAACTGCTATTCAGAATGGAGCCCTGCTTTCTTGGAAATATATAAACACTTGCCTGTCAACAGGAAGTAGCGAATTAATTCCTTGCTTTGCATTGGTTTAATGATTAAACTATCTTTATCTCAACTCACAAGTTTTCTTTCTCTCCCCCACCCCACTGTGGGGAGGGAGCAAGTGGTTCGGTAGTGCTGAGCTGCCAGCCAGGGTTAACCCACAACACTGCAGGAATTGAAGACATTTTAAGAAGCAGTGCTTAAACTCCCCCCAGAAAGAACCATGTGAAGCTTATGTTCTGTGCACCTGCTGTGGTTCCCATGTAGCATTTGTCGTGACACTTGCCCTCCATCTCCTTATTTAGTAGTATAAAATTAGAATATGCATATCATATGCAGTTACTATTGTAAATACAGTTTTCCTTATCCAAATTGGTGTCTTATTGCCTAGAATTCTGTATTGTATTATCTATGTTTCTCTAGTGTATGATGTACTTTAAAAAATACACTAAAGAATGGGGATCATAGCTTGTTGATTTTTGAAAATGACAACATTTTAATAATTAAATCATAAGCTATGCTTCCTAATGCTTTGATGGGATGAGAATGTAATTGTATTTCTTTTATGAAATCTGATGATGCTGTTGCAAATATTGAAAATTTTAAACAAAACCTGTTATTTCTACTTATAGCTCTGGTTTTTCATGAACATAAGAAACTTCTGCAAAATTTGTTGCCTCAAGGAGATAAATCTAAGTTTTAGAGATCCTGCGTAAAGCCTTCTGGTTTCAAGATGGTGACTTTACCACAGTTGGTTGCCTTTTTGGTCTTAGGAGAGCAGTTCTGTTATTGAACGTGAGTACATTTTCACAGCCATTGGTTATCTGAGTATTTGACAGAAATGACCTGGTTAAGGCCAAACTTGCTGCTTCTGAAGCAACTACATTTATAAATCCAACCCATGCAACAGTCAGACATGAGTGTGACTTTTTTCAAAAACAGATTACTATCAACAGTTAGTCATTTTGATGCTATGGGGAACAATAACTGTGGTGAACTAAGTATGACTGTATGTTTATGAAAAATATTCATGATCTTGTGAAATGCACCGTTTCAGATATTTAACTATTTTATTATGAGTGGCCAAATAGGTTCTTGCTCTTATTTTTGATTATTATATATTTTTATAGTTTTAGACATAAAACTAGCAAACAGTATAAGCTACAGATTTCAATAGGTATCTATTAGCATTGAACTACCAAACTGGTCAATTTGCATTTTGGTAAGAGGAAGCTGATGGTTATTTGCAATAAGATCACTTTAAGAAAAGTTACACAATTTCAGCATTACAGAAGTGTGATTAATTTACCTTCTTTACTATCAGCAATATCAGATTGGATATATGCTGTGACATTTGCTATACAGACATAAATCTTTCTGTCAGAAAGATTGAGTAACCTTGTATCTTGAGTTCAATTTGAACTGAAAGGACAATGCGCCAAAGACAAATTTCTTGAGATAAACAAATAATCAAGAAAAAACCTATGAAACAACAATTTCTTTTCCACAAAATAAAGAAGATACTCCAAGTATTGAATAAATGCCTCATAGCTATGTAAACTTTCTTAAAAATTGTTGCTGATTTGAAATTTTGATATTTATATATTTTTAGATAGAAATAATATACAATAGTTGTGGAACTTTCCAAAATGTCATATAGTGATTAGCTAGAATTTTGTCCCTTTGATAGTCTTCATACCACATGTGTCACAAGCAAAACGATCAGTTAGCCATGTTACCAAGTCTTAGTATTTTCATTCTGAAAAGCCAAACATTAGCAGGAGATTAACCAAGCCCTCTTTTCTTCCCCTCCCTTGCCCTACAGAAGTGAAGAATTATTTGGGAATTACTTAATGTGGAGATCCCAGTTCTTCCATGGGTTTGCAAAGTCATTTTACTTCTCTTTACTTCCATTTTATGAGTGCCTCTTTGCATCCTTACCACTCTTCCTTTATATTGAGATATTAATCCTGTGGTTTTTATTTGCAGAACTGCAATGTTAAAAAAACAACACTTCCTGCTGTTGTTGACAACATTCATTCTGAACTTCAGTCCAAGAATAATAGCTGCTTGTATCAGTTAATGTCTTACTCCCCATTAAGGAGAATATTTCACAAATAAACAGCCATACAAAGGTCT